TAGTAGTAGTAATAGTAGTCGTAGTAGTAGTAGTAGTAGTCGTAGTAGTAGTAGTAGTAGTAGTAGTAGTAGTAGTAGTAGTAGTAGAAGTAGTAGTAGTAGTAGTAGTAGTAGTAGTAGTAGTAGTAGTAGTAGTAGTAGTAGTAGTAGTAGTAGGAGTAGTAGTATTAGTAGTAGTAGTAGTAGTAGTAGCAGCAGTAGTAGTAGTAGTAGTAGCAGCAGTAGTAGTAGTAGTAGTAGTAGTAAAGGTAGTAGTAGGGTCGTATGTAGTACCGTAGTAAGTAATCGTCGTAGTGGTAGTAGTTAGTAGTAGTAGTAGTAGTGTGTAGTAGTAGTAGATAGTGCAGTAGTGTAGTTAGTAGTCGTAGTAGTGGTTGCGTAGTAGTGTACGAGTCGTATTAGTAGTAGTGTATTAGTAGTCCACACACAGCTCGTAGTAGTAGTAGTAGTAGTAGTAGTAGAGTCTAGTATAGTAGTCGTGTAGTAGTAGTAGTAGTAGTAGTGTAGTAGTAGTAGTAGGCCGTAGTAGCAGTCGTAGCAGTAGTATAGTAGTCAGTAGTAGTAGAGTAGAGTGCAGTAGAGTAGTAGTAGAAGTAGTAGTAGTAGTAGTAGTAGTAGCAGCAGCAGCAGCAGTAGTAGTAGTAGTAGTAGTAGTAGTAGTAGTAGAAGTAGTAGTAGTAGTAGTAGTAGTAGCAGCAGCAGCAGCAGCAGTAGTAGTAGTAGTAGTAGTAGTAGTAGTAGTAGGAGGAGTAATAGTAGGAGGAGTAGTAGTAGCAGTAGTCGTAGTAGTCCTAGAAGGAGGAGTCGTCGTCGGTAGTAGTAGTATAGAAGTATTCAATGTTGTCGTAGTCGCAGTCGCGGTCTCAGTCGCAGTCGCAGTCGTAGTCGTAGTCGTATTTGTTGTTGCCCCCCGGGGCAGGGGGAAGCTTGGTACCAACTGAACAAACGAGACGTCGCCATCCGTATCACACACATATATACATACATGTGTGTATGTATGTATGTATGTATGTATGCATGTATGTATGTTTATATAGGCACATTTATGTACATGTATGTGTACTTGTACATGTCTGTAACTAAATTTATCCATACACATGTATACATTTGCAGGGTGCATTTCCCTGCTGACGAGGCTCAGGGCCTCGGGGCGCATGCCCCGAGTCTCCACGGCGGAGCGGGGGGGGGGCTCGAGAGTCGGTGTGAGCACGTTTCCTAGACGCCCCGCGCAACCCCACCAGCCCATCCAGAGACGATGCCCAGGCTTATGGTGTTCCAGCCCCGCCTTCTTTGGTTTCGACGGCGTCCTTGGGTTTCGCTCCAACAATGACCCATTCGCGCCAGACGACGGGTCCAATGACGGTATGGACGAGCCGTTCGTTGTCCACACCACACCCTTCGGGTCGCATGCTCCGCCCCCGCCAGGTAGCCTTGTTCACCAGAAAGAGTTTCGAGCACCAGGGGAGTACCGAACATTGGAAGACTTTCACGTGTCGGGCCCTGGGAGGCGATGCTCGTTCGACGCTGTTTCAACACTTTGCTGGGCGTTCGAAATTATGCCTGGGATGTGGTCCTTAAGTCCGACAGGAGCAACATAAGCCCAGGCGAGATGCCTGGATCAGGTATGTGGATAAGCTCGCGGTGGAACTAGCGGGCTGGGGATGCCGCCGTGCCCCAAATTGAAGGGGGGACGGAGGAGGAGGGATGAGGAGGATGAGGAGGAGGTGGAGGAGGAGGAGGAGGAGGAGATGCAGGAAGAATGATGCTGCTGCTGATGATGATGCTGCTGCGGATGATGAAGATGATTATTATGGTGCTGCTGCTGATGATGATGATGATGATGCTGGTGGTGGTGATGGTGATGGTGATGGTGATGGTGATGGTGATGATGATGATGATGATGATGATGATGATGATGATGATGATGATGATGATGATGATGATCATGATGATGATGATGAGGTTGATGATGATGATGATGCTGATGATGCTGCTGCTGCTGCTGCTGATGATGATGATGATGATGATGATGATACTCATGCCTCTGGTGATGATGATGCTGCTGATGATGCTGATGAGGATGAGGATGATGATGAGGAGGATGAGGAGGAGAAGGAGGAGGGGGAGGAGGAGGAGGAGGAGGAGGAGTGGTTGGGAGAGGGGGAGGGGGAACATTGAGGAAATTGGAGGAGGAGGCGGAGGAGGCGGAGGAGGAGGAGGAGGAACAGTCGGAGGAGGAGGAGGAGGAGGAGGATTAGGAGGAGGATGAGGAGGGCGAGCAGAGTGACCCTAGGCCTCTGTGATGCCTCTCGGAGTCTTTTCAGATGTCTCTTGAGAGCTTCTTGGAGTCCTCTTGGGGTGCCTCGGGGGCGTCTTGGCGGTCCTGGGGGCCTCTTGGAGTGTCTTGGGTGCCTCGGGGGAGCCTCTTGGGTGTCTCTTGGGAGACCTCTTGAGGGGCTCTTGAGCCCTCCTGGTCACCTCTTGGGGCCATCTTGGCGCGCTATTGGGAGTCTAGAGGGCCATCTTGGGGCCATCTTGGAGGAGATCGATCACAGAAGGAAGCCAAGCTTTGCGCAACACCAACGTAGAATCACTGATTGCTGCCTTCTCGCCGAGACCATCTTGGTCGCTCCACTTGGTCGCGGACCCCCCTGTCCAGGTCCAGGGGAAGGGGTTAGGGTTGGGGGTGTCCCCCCCGAAGGGAAAGAAGGGGGGTTGGGAGGGCTGGCGGGATTTATCGTCCGCCGCGGGCGCCGATCTGCTGCACGACATACAGTGTGTGTGTGTGTGTGTGTGTGTGTGTGCGTGTGTGTGTGTGTGTGTGTGTGTGTGTGTGTGCGTGTGGGGGGCTGGTCGCGTGGCAGGTCGTCGGCGGATTGCGTGGCTCGAAAGCCACTGTAAAGAAGCCCGCCGCGGGCGCGCATCTCCCAGACAGCCTCTTGCGAATATTCGATGGTTCCCAGACTTTTTTTTTGCGTCGGCGGCTAGGCAGAGGGTGACTGCGCTGGCGATGAGAAGGCTTAATCGGAGATGCCGTTAGAGCGAATCGTGCCACCATGCAAGGAGGAGGAGGAAGGACGCGGCCGAAGGAAAACAGGGGCCGGGCGGGCGGCTCAGGGGTCAGATCGCTCCCCGAGCGTAAGGGTTCCTAAAAAAAGCACCATGTCGAGTATCACCTTCTGGTTGGGATAGGGTCTCCCGCTGTACTCGGCTTGAGGCTGGTCTTGTGAGCGACCCCAGGTTTCTCCAGCGCCGCCCAAGGGCCCTGGAGAAGCCTCAAGAGAGTTCCGGGATCTTCCTTGGTGCGCCGAGAGGTCGCGAAGACGCCTCACGGGCTCCAGAGAGGATCCAGGGAGGCTCCCGCGGCACCACAGCACCCGTACCTTTCACCAGGCAGTAGGCCCCCCTCAGGGCCCCAGTAGCTCAAGAGAAGCGCCGAGAGACGGCGAGAGAGGAGTTCGTGACCCTGGGACAACTAAAACCAATGCAAGCCCCCCCCCCCAAATCGCGAGGTATAGAGACATGCATCCACCGTGTCCTGACGTCGCCCTGTGTGCTAGGACCTCAGCGCGCGAGTTGCGCGCGCGTGGTTCCAGTCCGAGGTGGGACGCTGGTCTGCAGCTTGGGCTGGACGTCGATGTGGACGCCTGGCTGCAGGATGCGCCGAATGCCGACCCGACTGTGGCCCTCGCACTGAGGAGCGCCCTGGCTGCCGCGTGGCCAGCGCCCTGCTTGATGATATCGGCGCCGAGCTGGGGCCGCGGCCACGGCGGTGCAGCACCACGAGCACCGCGCGCACCATGCGGGCTCGCCGCCCGTGCCGCGCACTTTGGGCCCCCGCGGTGCACCTCGGCGTGGGCGCGCAGAAGGCGCGCACGCGAGCACTCCCGGGCGTGGCGCCTGAGGCCAGGCGGGAACCCAGGCGACGCTTGAGCCAGGATTGCTATGGTAATGTAGGGGGCTAGAACATATACACCACCACCTCCGCCCTCGCCGCCTTCATCCTCCTACGGGAGAGGTGGAGGAGGAGGAGGAGAGGAAGAGGAGGGAGGAGGAATGGAGGTGGTGGTGGTGCATATCCCTGGGGCCCGCAAAATGACAGGGACAGGAGAGAGACGGAGCAGGGGCCATCGGGGGAGGGAGGGAGGTGGTCGGGCGGCGGAGGAGGAAAAGCAGGAGCAGGATGCCTTGAGCGGTGCGCAGTTGCAATAAGAGCAGCAGTAGCTCCAGTTCGGCGCATCGGACTTCGCTGTGGGTTGTTCGTTGTGGGCCAAGAGAAGGATGAACATGACGACGCGGGATGAGGAGGATAGATCGGGATGGTGAGCCGGAGGAGCAGGAGAAGGACGAGCTGGACGAGGTGGAAGTAGTGCAAGGGGTGCCAGGGGAGGACAAGGAGGATCGCGAGTGAATTGGTTGCAGGAGGAAGATGAGGAAAAGGAGCAGCGCTAGAAGGATACGGACACGTCGAAGACTGGAGGAGTCGCGGAGGGTGAGGAGCATGAAGGGGAGGGCGAGAGTTGGAGAGGGATGTTGATACCTTGTTGGGCCGCTGGGGGGCCAGGCGCGCGTGTCTGCCATTCTTGACGTCCGCCAGGCCGCCAGCGGCGCCGTTCGTGCTTCTGTCGATTGCCCCCATTATTGCTCTCGCTTTCAGTCTGATGTTCATCTCGGGCTGTTATGGCTTTGTGCATGTCAAGTCGCTCTACTTGGCCCTTTTGTTTCTTTGCCCCGATCTCTTCGCGGTCGCCTAGTCGGTCGTATAGTCGATGTGAGAACCCTGAAGGAGGTAGCCTTCGCAGTGCCTGGGTCCGCCGTAGTGAAGAACTGGGAGGTGGGGTAGACGGAGGGGAGTGGAAACGGGAAGAGACGATGAACTGACGGTCACGAGAGCGAGCGCGGCAGGGAATGAGGAAAGCGTGATGACGTGCAGGTGGAGGCATGGAAGGGGCAGGGGATTAACACTGGACGACGGGGAGGATAGACGTGTGCGTGTGTGTGCGTGTGTGTGTGTGTGTGTGTGCGCCACTGCCCTTCATCTGAGGGGCCGGCCGCGCGCGCGAGCCCTTTTGCTTGGGACTTGCTCCGCCTCGTCGCCGCGCGCAAGGCCGCGACTGCCCAACAGTGTGTTTGTGTGTGTGTGTGTTTGTGTGTGTGCGTGCAGTTGTCGGGCTCGGATTTGATCCATTCTTGGTCGAAGTCCGGAGCTTCAGCACACATTTGAGCCTCGTGGTCTACACATTCCGGTCCGAGCCTCGTGGTCTGCGCGTTTGAGCGTTCTCCTTGTCGAAGGGTCCTGTGTACCGAGTATAGGGCAAGCCGCACACGTCCAGTTCGTCTTTCATTGTTTACAGTGTGTGCTTACCGCTCTTACACACGCCACAGCTCGCTTTGTGTCAAAGCTCTCCCGTACCAGAGGTTTAGGGGCCTGCTCAAACAGCATCTTGTCGTGTATACACGTGTACGCCTTCGACACTGCTGGGATTGTTGTGGCCGTGCCTCGGCCGCCCTTGACCCTTGGTGCTATTGAGGCCCTTGAGGCTGTGGGGCCGCACGGTGTGGTAGGTCCTCAGTGTTCGGGGGCTCAGGGCGGTGTCTTTGGTATGCGTCTCTTCGCCGTCATTGGTTGGGTCTTTCAACAACTATGTGGTATCTCCATTGGTGGGCCCTCAGCAGGGCCATCCTGCATGCTGTGCGTAGTGGCTTGGGAGTTCCAGGCAGACTCCCAGTGCCCGGGGCGTCGGGGTTACGTGTTGACGGGGGATGCGTTGATGATAGTGTTCTGGCCTCAAAAGTGTGTTGTAGCATTTGACCTCGCGGAGCCCATCGTCGTTAAATTGTCTACCCTCACGGCCCATACCTTGAGGCTAGCCTGTTCTTCTCATTCTGGTGCCAGCAGCAAGCCCGTGCATGTAAATGAGGCGCTTGCGTTCTCAGGCAACCCTGCAAGTAGGACAAACCATTGTTTGGTCCCTTACCTAGGAGGCTCACGCCCACTATCCTGAAACGGCATCGGGCTGAATTGCGTGTGCGTGTTCAACGTCGTCAAAATTTACGTGCTTGTGGTAAGGACTGGATTGTTTTAGTCTGCAGCGACGCTCTTTTATACCTACGGTCGTGCTGTTGCGTCCGTCGAATTTGGCTTCATTTTCTTCCGCCGTCTGAGCGCATGGGAGTTTGCCGGGCTGCAATTCGACTCGTCACCCTGACCCCCAGGACCCTGAAAGGCCCAGTTTCTGCTACCACACCCGTTTTGTCCTTGAGTCTTGCTGCGAGCCTCGTTTAGAGGGCAGAAAATCCACCCCGATAATAACCACCCCAACACGCGAAGCCGTTTAGTAAACGCATCCAAATAAGACATCAAACAGGGCAGGGCTCAAACAGGGCAGGGCTGTTCAGTAAACGCCCAGGGCCGTTTAGTAAACGCCAATTGTCGCGTCCGGATGGTTTTTCTTCCTTTGACCATTGCACCCACTGCGCCCTGCCATGATGCGCCGACACTTCTCCACCGGATGGCGAATTGTTTGGTTCCTGGCGCATGGGCAATGGCACGGGGAGAAGACTACCAGGGGTCCCTGTGCGCCGCGATTTACAGTCAACCCGCATAGTAAGGTTGGGAAACCTTCCCAAGGATCCCCGTGAATCCTTGCCCCTTCGGCCCATCCTTGGCGACTCTCGCTGGCCAGCCTCGTGCGAAAAACGTCTACTGGGGCCTCCAAGGCCCTTGCATCCTTACTGCGCATCCTTCTGATACTGGTCGAGTGTAGGGAAAACACCCTGTCCTTATCCCGCGCCATGGAGCATACATTTTCCCAGATACCCCTGACCAATTTAGGGAGAGAAAAAATGACATAAACATAAAAACTCAGAGGTCCGCGCGGATTTCTCGGATCCGCGCTGGACCCCCCTGCTTGGCACGCGGAGCGCGCCAGGGGCGCCGCCGGAGGCGCTACCAGGGGGGTCCAGCGCGGATCCGAGAAATCCGCGCGGACGGCCGAGTTTTATGTTCATGTCATTGCTTGTTCCCCTGCAATTGTGCGCCGCGGTGAATCGCCGATGCATCGCCGATAAGTCGGCGATGCATTGGCGATGCGGCGCGATCCTTCGACCCCATCTACTCGGACCCCATCTACTCGGACCCCATCTGGGAGGTCTCTAGACTTACCCCCACCGATTCGTCCTGGCGTCTCAGGGTTGGTTTCGTGGCAGGTTTCTTGTGGTCGGGCCTCGGGCGATTTCAGCACACCCCTCACGAGGATCGTGGCCCCCTAGGGAGCTCCACCGAAGGCCCCCTTGCAGGGCTCGCATGGCGGCCCAGGGGCGATTCCGGCACGCCCCTCACGAGGATCGGGGCCCCAGAGAGGGAGCTCCACCGCAGGCCCCCGTGGCAGGCTTCGCGTGGCGGCCTCGGGCGAGTTGGGCGCCCCCACTGTACACCCCTGGCCAGCTGTGCGCCGCGACCTGCCCCCACCGCTTCGCAGAGAGCCGCAGTGGCGCCGCGCTGCGCCCGGGCCCCGCCGCTGCGGCCCGCGGCCCGCCGCGCCCCCCCCCCCCCCCCCTGTATCGGGGGAGAAGAAGATACGGATACGTGTTGTCCCCCGTCGTTTTCGGCCTTTCCTGGTCCTCCTGGGGAATCCTCGTTGTCACCGCTGGATTCGCCTCGAAATTTTGGTCAGAACGCACCCCAAGAGAGGTCCGGGGACAACGCGTATCCGTATCTTTCCGCCCCCCAACTGTAGTGTAGGGGCGGCCTCGCCCGCCGGGGGAGGGGCCCCTCGTCGGCCGGCCGTCGCCCGCCGCCGTCCCCGCCGCCGGGACGCTCCTCGCCGCCCCCCCCCCCGCCACTTCCCCGCGAGGGGCCTGCGCTCCCCCTCTCCGGAGGGGTCTGGAGGCCTGGAGGTTGACACCAACACCAAGATCGGCGATGTTCCTCCACCGAGGGAAGAAGACCCCGATCTCGGTGATGGTGGTAATATCCTGGCTTCCAAGGTGGCCGAACTGTTACCACCAACACCGAAATCTAGGACCACCTCCCCCCTGTGGAGGCAGCCCTCTGTCTTGGTGTTGGTGCCCATTCCAGGCCTCCCAAGAACCCCCCCACCCCGACACGTCGGTTCGTGAGTTGTCCGTTTTTGTCGGTTCTCGAGGGGGCGTCGCGGCCGTCTTTTTTTCAGGCTTCTGCCCGCCCGGTTTGGGCCCGAGGTCGTGCTCGCTGAGCCGCGTTGTAAGACAAGGGGTTCTGTCCATCCCCGAATGAGGGAAAGGTGCCCGTACCTCTACCCTTCGCCCGCTTTCCCCTCTTTTGGGCCTCGCTGGATTCGCCTCGAAATCCTGGTCAGAACGCGCCCCGGGCGAGAGGCCTGGGGAGTGGCGGTATCGGTGCAGTCGAGGCGGATTGGTAGGTCGACCCTGCCAAATCAAGGGTGCTCTTGCGTCCTGTGTTTGGCGACCCATGCCTCCTACATTCCTGCGGCAATGTGGCCCTTGCCCTCTCGCGTGTCCTCTCCGATCAGCCTCGAGTGCACCTTTCGGTCTCCCCGCCTCTCACCTGCCTGCTTTTTTCAGTGTCGGCCCTTGGTTCGGCGCCACCCCAACTTACTTATGCTACATGTGCGTCGCCCCCCCCAGGGGCGACGCGCGCACCGAGAACTCTTATAGTATATGCGTCGTGGCGGGCGCTTTCTGGCCACGCCGCGCGGGAAGCGACATACTACAGGATGGGTACACTATATGTGTGTTCGGGTCGGGCGCGCGCTTCCAAGGAGGATATCTAGTACATGTGTGTCTCTGTGCGCCCCAATTGGTGGCCTCACCGGGCGCCCGGCTTTGGCTCCTCGGAGGGCGCGCCCGAGCGGTGCCCTCGCCCCGGCGCGGCGCGCGCGCGAGCGAGGCGCACGCCGTGTGCGTGCGCGCCGCGCGGCCGCCCGTCGCGCCTCCGCGCGCGGCGCGGGGGGGGATCGACCCCGGGGGGGGTTGCAGGCGGGGCGGGCGGACAGCGGACCCAGACCCCCCTCGAGCAGTGGACAAAATCCTGGTGGGAGGTTTTTTTTGTTTTTTTTTTGGGGGGGGGGGGGCATTTTCGGCATCTGGGGGCCCTCGCCGGGCCTCGGGGCCGTCGGAAAACGACTCAGGATGAGAAGCCGGTCCCGCGGAATGGGTCGAGACCTTCGGTGGAAGAGTCGTGGCGTCGAGGGTCCGGGGAGGGGGGCCAGTGGGGGCAGCAGGTCTCGGGGTAGAGGGCGTTGCAGGATTCCCACGGGTTCCTGCTGCGACCATTGAATATATGTGCACTCTTTTTCTCTCTTTCCCTCTTTTCCCTCCCTTCCCCTCCTACTCCCCATTTTTTTTTGCTGCTACCATTGAATATAAGGTCTTTTCCTCTGTTCCTCTTTTCCCTCCCTTTGCCTCCTTCTCCCACCTTCCCCTGGTCCCCGTCGTTCCTCTTCCCCCAAACCTCCCCCCACCTTTCTGTCCCGTCACATCCCCCGTCATATCCCGTCTCCATCTCGTCTCTTTCCCACTCTTCTCTCTCTTATTTCCCCTCCCGCTCCTCTTCTTCTCCCATCCGAGATCTCTAGCCACGCAGACTGTGATTCTCATGACATTTCCACGCGCCCCCTCCCGTCTTTCTTTTCCTCTCTCATTTTCCTCCGCCTCTCCTTGCATTCCCCTCCCCTTCCCCACCGGCAGGTGTTCGGTGGAGATCGAAGCTCACAGGACGCGCCTCTCACTGTGGGCAGAGAACTGCCAGCCGTGACAGGGTCTTACGAGCTCGCGCGCGAAGCGTCGCGAGTTTTTCGCGAGCGACCTCATGTGAAAGACGCTCCCTCTCCTTGCCCATGTTCCTTCCCCTTCCCCATGTTCCCCTCCCTCCCCTTCCCCTTGTCCAGCCTCGAAGCGTCAGTGGGCTCCCCAACGCGCGCTTTTGTTTTGCAGCGATGTGCGAAGCGTTCGCAAGTCGCCCAACAGCATTACCTCGAACTTGCAAGGTAAGTACACTGATCCTACCTGGATCGTAGCCATTTGGGCTCAAGCCATTTTGGCTCCAGCGAGCTTGTGGGTGCACCCCTCACCCTGCCCGCCGCCCGGCGCCACAGCAGCGGGACCCCGATGGCGGCCTTGCCCCGCCTGGCGCTGGCCGTCGCCCTGCTCGCGGCCCCGGCCGCCGCCTACGTGGCTCCCGCGCCCGGCGAGGCCGCCCCGAGGCGCCCCGCCGCCCCCGCGGCCGCGCAGCGGCAGGTGCCCTCGCCGCCGGAGGGGCCCGGGGCGGGCCGGGAGGGCAGCGCTGCCGGGGCGTGGTTCGGCGCGGCGGCCGCGGGCATCGCCGGCGCGGTGGCGGGCTTCCTGCGCTCAAGCCGCAAGACGGCCCCTGGAGCGGCGGCGGCGCTGCTCGTCGCGGGCGCCCCGCCAGCGTTGGCGGAGGTCGACTACACCAACATCGAGTACCTCGGCGGCAGCAACAAAGTAGACATCAACAACGCCAACATCCAGGCCTACCGCCAGTTCCCTGGCATGTTCCCGACCGCCTGCGGCTGGATCGGTACGCATGGCCCGTGGGCGACGGTGTCTGACATGTTGAAGGACCCCGAGCTTCCCGAGAACCTCAAGGCGATCATCCAGAAATACGAGAACAACTTGGTGGCTTTCCCGGCCAACCCGGCCTACTTCATCGACCGCATCAACAATGCCATGTACCGCTGAGTTAGCGCAGTCCTGCCCGTCCCCCTCCTCGCCGTCATTACGCTGTCCCGGCAGGTTTTTTTTTGTGTGTGTCTTCTTCTGTTGAAGTTTTTTACAGGAGGCGGCCGCTCCAATACTTGTGGGAGCGGCTGGGCTCCGTATCCCGGGGACTTGCCCGCTGCAAAAACCCAGAGTCCGACCCGCCGACGCGTCACAGGCAAAAAAACATGCATTCATTATACATGGAGAGTTTTGCTCTTGGATCTCAGGGATCATTACCTCTAGCTCAGAAGCTCGAGTAATTCCGGGATTTCTCTTTGTGATCCTCTTGGGCTCGCAGAGCAGATGCTGGCTTGTGGGTCGCAGCAGTTGCAGTGGACCGTTCGCTGGTCATGCACTCCCGCAGTGGCTCTCGTGACCCTGATAGCTCCAGAAAAGCTTCAGCTCAAAGGGGACCCCACCTTCGCGCCAGTGCAGCCGCGCAGCCCTACAGCAGGAAGGAGGCTCAGGACAAGTTTCAGATTTGCTCCAGCTCAGTTCCCCGATAGGGCAGTCATGGGTCTACTTCCTCTCGGCCTCGTTCTCCTCTTCCCCCTCCTCCACCTCGTCTTCTTCCTCCCTCCTCTTTCCTTTTTCCTGTACGGTCGGACCGAGGCATTGGACCGCGGTCGGTTCGGGCAGGATACCCTGATGTTCATCGTGCTTGTTGGATGTTTTTTTGCATCCTGGTGTGTTCTGGCCAGCGGAGGGTCTCATGTTCTTGAAGGATGTTCTTCTGTCCTGGGTCCGGCCTTGGGCGATCTTGGGGCCCGGCGAGGTTTTCGGTTGACCCTTCGTTGGCCTGCGGTGGCCTGCTGATGGCCGAATGGGCGCCTTGGGGCCGCCCTGGGCGCAACGAAACTAACGAGCCCTTTCAAAGCGGCTCGTTGGAGCCGCGTTGGGGCCATTTGGGCGGGACTTTCTACGGCAGGTTCGGCGTCGTGCCGACGCGGCGGCGACCCCGCCGTGGGCGTTCTGGGCTGAACGCCGCCAGGGGCCCAGAATCTGCCCATGTGGAGGGATCTGGCGATCCAGCCGCCGATCGTGCAGGATTGAACGATCCACGCGGTGTCAGAAACCATGGTGCGATCGTTCAAGATCGAACGCTCCACGCGGTGTCAGAAAGCATGGTGCAAGTCGTCACGATACGAACTTGCCTTAGGCAGTCTTGGAGCTCGCATCTTGTCTTGGCGGGTCCTTGGCCCGTCTCTTGGACGTCATGGGTGCTCTCTTCGGTCCTCGAGAGGCTTGCCGATCGTTACGCATCATCAGTCTCCCACGACGATCGAACTATTCGACGGACAGTCGATGTTGTCATGCGTACCATGTGTGAACACACTCGGCAACACGCTAGAAAATGGCACCACGATCGAAGTGCTAGCTCTTGACGTTCGGTGACTTCACAGCCACTACTGTCAAATTCTGCATGCGCGAACGGCCAGCCGCAACACGTGGGGCATCAATCATCGGACATTTCAACGCCAACGGCAGTCTGCGGCGAGAAGGGCCAGTTCCTTAAAGCACACGTGAGAACCCCTACGCGCAACCATGGTTGGGGGTGCTCGCCAGACAGGGGCACGTAGCGTGATTGGTAGATCAGTTGCCAGGGCGAAAAGTATAGCTATATGCGAACCGTTGGCGCATGACAGTTGCAATTTATGTTAGAGTTTTTGGTTGGCCACATGGCTCATACTTTTTGTAGCAGTAGAACTTGAGCTGCAATGTGACGAGCACAGATCGCACCTGCCGTTGCTGGTTGTGTCGGTATCTCGCATGTGTTTTTAGTTGAGCGTTGTTCGGGTTCATCGCTCAGCGACACGTTGAAATCATGGGAGCCTTTGGCAGGGGAGGTGTTCTGGTCGGCTATCCCCTCACAAGTCGCCTTCCCAAGACGTGCACAGACACACACTCTCTCTCTCTATCACTCCCACTCTTCCTTTTTGTTTGTTTGTTTCTCTTTCTCTCTCTCGCTCTCTCTCTCCCTTTCTTCTCGTTCTCCCCCTCCTCCCCACTCTGTGTCTCCTCCCCTGCCAGGAGATACTGTGCCACATTCTCATGGACCACGACATCGTACGTCGCGATGGCGAGGACGCTCGCTCGACCTCCTCTGTCAGACGAATTGTGGCCGAGAGGTCCTGCAAACACGTAGCATTCAGTCGGGCAGGTCCTTCCACAGGAGGGATCTCCGAGAGCAGTAAAACCATGTTTGTCGGTTAAAACTTTTTCCAACGTCCTCCTGCAGGAGGACATGCCCGACCTAAACGTAGCACTATCTTACCAACATTCCCGGCATATTCAGACAAGCGGAGTCCCAACCCCCCTTGCTTTTACGATTCCTATGTGCTCCAGATCAGCGTTACCTCCGTGCCCCCCTACGCTCTCGACAGCAAGTTTTTTTTTGTTTGCAGGTTCTAACACGAAGTGTTCCACGTGACAGTGGTCAGTGCGTTGGCGGCGGGGAGACCACGTGGTTTCATCCCCGGGCCTTGTCTATGGGGGGCCGATTTGGGAGCTTTAAAACGGGAGTCGATGCAAACGGGGGTCAGCCAGAGCGCCTGATCTTGCAGGATCCTGCAGGGCCAGGGGCGCCTTGACCTGGGTTCGGGTGCAGGATTCTGCAGGGTCCTGGAGGATCTTGCAGGATCCTGCAAGGCCTGACTTGCCTGGGTTTGGATTAACCCAGGTCAGAAGGTCCCCGACCGATGTCGGTCTTATCTCAACGGCTCGTTGCAGTAGGAGGGTCACTCTGTCCTTCTCCCGCGCCATGGAGCACACATCTTCCCAGATGCCCCTGACCAAGTGTGCCCATGCAGCTCCGTAAGGATCCTCCCGTACTGCATTCTTCACTTCTCGCCTCTGCGTCTTCCTTCTTCCCTCTTGTCTCCTGAGCTCGCCATTTTCTCCAGTACTTCGCACTGCGCTTGCCATGCCAAGGTCAAACGAAGGTGCGATCTGGATTTGTCAGGATGGGCCTGTTTTCCACCACCACCACCGCCACAAGCTGGATGGGGGGAAGGAGGTGGCGGACGAGGAGGAGGAGGAGGAGGAGGAGGAGGAGGAGGAGGAGGAGACGAAGAGCAGCAGGAGGAGGAGGAGGGGGAGGGGGAGGAGGACCCCCTCCCCCTCCAACTCGTGGTCGTGGAGGTGGTGGTGGACAGCGGGCCCCTCCCGTCGGGTGCCCGCTGCCGTGCGCGCGGGGCGTGGCCCCACGGAGCTCCGGGCCGCCGTGCGCTCCGCCCGCCCCCGGCCCCAGCAGTGGCGGCGGCGGCGCCGACGCGCACCATCATGGCATCCCCCCCGGGGAGCGGCGCCCGCGCCAGCTCGGGGGGCGCCGGGCGGGGAGCGCGGCGGCGGCCTCACGTCGGAGGCGAGCGAGGGGGGGGGGAAGGGAGGGAGGCGAGCGAGGGGGAGGGAAGAGGAACGAGCGAGGGGGGGGGAAGGGAGGAGCAGCGAGAGCAGTGCAATCAGGTTTGTCAGCACCTGTGCGATGGCGCCGACACCGCCGGTGTTTGCCTGGGTGGTGACCGGGGTTGCGAAGGGGTAGGCGTCACCTGCTGCGCGCGCTCCCCGGCCGCCAGTGCGGCCACCCGGGCCCAACTCTGCTTGAGCCAAGGCGGCCACCCGGGCCAAGCTGCCTGAGCAGGGGGGGATCGGGCCGGGCGAAAGGGGGGGATTGGGAAAGGGGGGGTTACGAAATTTGCTGCATGCAGCTGGTTTCGGCCTCACCGAGGGGCCCATTCCTCGATACATGGCCGCCTCCGGCGCCGGGAGGCGCCGGGAAAATCAGCTACGTGAGCTGATTCTCAAACCCCCCCTTTGCTATCCCCCCCTTTCGCCCGACCCGAGGGGAATTGAGCAGGAGAAGGCCTTCTCAGAGGGCGGCGGGACTTCTCAGAAGGCCGCCGGCGTGCCGAGAAGTTGTTCTGTCCTCGGAGAAGGCTTGGGGCATTGCTCAGAAGTTCCGGGAGCTTCTGAGCCTTCTGAGGAGGCCTTCTCCTTCTCACTTCCCCCCTGGGCGCGCCGCCTATCACTGCTAAGGAGGTGCTGAGTGTGCGTACCGCCGACCTTCTCACATCGCTGGGCTTCATGATTCGGCGCTCCGCGCGGATTTCTTGTGGCGCTCCGCGCGGATTTCTTGGATCCGCGCTGGAACCCCCCGGCGGCGCCTCTGGCGCCGCCCCTGGCGCGCTCCGCGCGCCAGGGAGGGGGGGTCCAGCGCAGATCCAAGAAGTCTCCAAGAAGTCCGAGCGGAAAGCCAACAGTGTATGTTTATGACGTGTTTGCTTCTTCTAGTGATCGTGGATGGGGCAGCGAAGAGCCCAGTCGTCAAGGGGGCCGCGACGCGCCCGCTGTGTGGCGTGTCTGTGAGGTCGGCAAGGTGGCGGCGCTCGACTTGGACCAGCCCCGTGGCCGAGTCGGCTCCAGCACAGCAGGCGGCAGCACCAGTGCCGGCGGACCCCGACAAGAGGCGAACATGCAGCACAGTCTTCGACCAGCTGGAGCGAGTGCACGTTTTTGCTAGCAAATCATGAGAGCCTGGTATACCCTCTCAATTTTGTCTTGAGTCGACTAGCGTCGATCAGAGTCTGGGACTCGATGATATAGGGCCGATTTAGCGTCGGCTAGCATCGATTAGCTTCGACTTAGCATCGATTCGCGTCGATTTAGCGTCGAGTAGCGTCGACTCTTAAGCGCCGACAAGCTGGTATGGGAGGCCCCCATGAGTTGCCACCGAAGAGTGTGCGCACCGCCGATCTTCGCACGTCGCTGGGCTCCATGACCGTGGACGGGGCAGCGAGGAGCCCAGCCGTCAAGGGGGGGCCGCGACGCGCCTGTTTTTGCGTGTGCTTATGAGGTCGCCAGGGCGGCGGCGCTCGAATCGGGCTGGCTCCTGGCCGGGTCGGCTCCAAAACGGCAGGCGGCAGCAGCACCAATGCTGGCGGGCCTGGACAAGAAACGGGAATACAACACCGCCCTCGACCAGCTCGACTGGGTGCGAGAACGAGGTGTTCGCAGAGAGCACTCTCCGCGAGCTCGTGGAGGACTTCGCGGTCAAGAGATGCCACGCGCAGACGGGGGTGGAGGGAGGGGGGTCTGGCTTGTTAGAAACACCCCTGCTTCTCAGAAGGCGTGGGCCTTATCTTTGGATGTAAGGCCGGCGCCTTCTAAGAAGCAACCTTGTTCTAAGAAGCCTTCCCCCCTCCCCCTGCCCCCCTGTGCACGCAGCCGACAAGAGTGGTGGCTCGCCGCGGGAGGCGGAGGACGTGAATCCCAAGCGGCAGCTCTCGGCGTGGGCAGCGCGAGTGGCAGAGGAACGCGCTCCGTGCACGCATTTTACTATATGGGGCCTTCTCGTTTTGTCAATCGGGAGTTGGTCATTCGTTCTCTCTTTGGTTCCGCCGTCTTTTGGGACGTGGAGAGCGTGCTGGCGTGTGTTCCGCACAGTTATATTCATGTTCAAGGCATGCCAACCGTGCGCTCGGGACCGCTACGAAACGGGCGTTCGCCTTTTTGCACGTGCGTTCCCTCAGCCCTGGGGGGGCGCGTGCCAGGCGGACGGCGCCATGAATGCAGAGAAGTGGGAGAAGGTTCCGCCGGGACATCGAGGCCAAGGTAGAGATGGGCAACTACGCAGAGCTGGTCGAACCGGAGAGGCCTTCGAAGGCAGTCGTCCGTGAAGCAGTCTACGGCACGGACTTCACGCGCTCCGGCTGGTGGTGCGAGAACGTGGACAAGCCGTGCCTGACTAAGTCGCTCTCCCGCGCTGGGCTCCAGCTACCTGTGGCGCGGTGGCGGGCGACAGGCCCGGCCAGGCCAGGGAACGCGACGATCGGTGACCTACAGGCCCGGGTCAATCCAGACCCGGGTCAGTCAGGCTCTGCAGGATCCTGCAAGACCTTTCAGGATCCTGCGCCCGAGCCCAGGTCCATGCAGCCCTGGCTCTACAGGATCTTGCAAGATCCTGCAGGATCCTGCGCCCAAGCCCAGGTCCATGCAACCCTGGCTCTTCAGGATCCTGCAGGATCGGGCACTCAGAAGGACCTCCGTTTGCATTGGACCCCCATCTCCTTGAGCCCCGAGACGGCCGGCCGGCTAAGAAGCCGAGGCCCAGGCGCCCAAGGGGCTCGCAGCATTCGGGCGCCCGAAGCACGGCCGCTTCCTCCGCGACGGGGACAAGAAGTAGCTTCGATTCGCGTGAAGATGTCCAGCCGCCTTTGCGGGGATCCGGTAACCAATCGTGGGAGTTTGGTACACCATCAGCAGACCGTCTTTAGCTCCGATTAGCGTTGACTGGCGCTTGGGAGTCGATGGAACTGCGCCGATTTAGCGTCGGCTTGCATTTATAGCGTCGATGTAGCGTTGACTCGCGTCGGTAAGCGTCGATCCGCAAGCGCCTACAAGATGGTATGACATGCCCCCATGAGTTGCCACCGAACGGGGAGCCGAACACGTCGAAACCACCCCACACGCGCGCAAGCGAGTGGTGCTCGGGACTCTCATCTCGCCGCACGGGGAACGATGGGTGCCATGCGGAAGAGGGCCTCAGGAACTGGAAGCCCTGAGCTGCTGCTGGGGTCGTGCATGAGGCGTGCCGGGAGGATCTGGCCTGGCTCCAGGCGCCGTCACCGAATTCACAGTGTCAGTTTCCCGCAGAGACCCCAAGGCGGACCAGTGAGCCAACCGCAGGCCCTGCCTCCGTTCAACTCCTCTTATCAGCCCGAGGCTCCTGTTGTCACACCTGACGCGTGCGCGCTTGCGTGTGAGTCGCATGCTGGCAGTGCGGGCTGGGGCTGACACGGCCGACGTCGCAGCAGCGGCCGTTGCGGCCAGGGCGCCGTTTGACGCCCCCGTGCCGCGGACTCGTGGTTCGGCAAGCCGGAGGGCAGCGCTCGCCAGGCACGCTTGCTGGACGATGCGGGCTGCCGAGCTGGCTTGCGGAACCTGGCGTGGCATGTGAGCCGGTGGCCAGAGCTGGTGGAGGCCGTGGTGCCAGTACGCGCCGCCATCTTGCAGGCGCGCGCAGAGGGCCCAGAGCTGATCCACCTGGCGTCGGCCTGCGGCGAGGCGCGCGGCCGCCCGCCGCCGTCTGAGCACGCAGTGGCCGGCCTGCGGGCACGCGTGGCCGCGGCAATGCGATTGCCCTCGAGCGCCGGAAGGCTGCACCATCCAGCTTAGCTTCCGGTGGAGGTACCTCCAGGTGCAAGCCCCGCAACAGCATGCGCTCGACCGCCGCGCCGTCTAGTCGGCGCGTCTTCGGTGTGTCACAGCGGTGATCCCGCTGCAGCGGTGGCCTCATTTTAGGATCACCGCTGTGTTCCCGTCTTTCACAATAGCGTTCGCGCCCCATCTCGGGCGACACTTTTGTCTTCGAGTTGTTCCTCGTCGTTGTCGCCCTTTTCTTCTCTCGTCTTCCGCCTTCCCCTTATCCTCCTGTTCCTCCCGCGGCTCCCACTCCTGCTGCTGCTGCTGCTGCTGCTGCTGCTGCTGCTGGTGCTGCTTCTTTTTCTCGGCGTCCTGAGAGGGGTCAGCTGTCGGATGAGGCGTTTGCGCTCCAAGCTTGCCTCCCTCCACTTTCCCCTTTCCCCCTCTGCTCTCCCTCCTCGCCCCTCTGGAACATGTCTTCGGCGATCCATCTGCGCAGCTCCTTGCGCCCACCCCGAGGACAAGCGAGCCTCCTTCGGGTATAGCCAGGACCCCAAGTAAGGGGACCCTGTCAGTGGTAGGGCCCTGGGGCCCCTCAGTTGGCCAGATTCACCAAACCAGGTTTGCCGTAACTGGTGCTTTTCGGGTGACGGCAGGTCCGGTTAGTGGGGATGGGACGCGGGGGCGCCCCCGGTACAAATCACCAAACCAGGTTCCGCTAAACTCGGGGGCGGAAAAGAGGGGGGTGATGACTAGGGGGGGTGGATATCATGGCGGGGGCCATGATATTTCCCCAGATCTCGTGGCGCCTCTTCTTATTTCATTACGTCCCTGGCCCCCCCCGCTGGGCCGCGCACGTGCCGCCGGTCATGATTTGCACCCCCCCTTCTTGGACACCCCCCTCTTGGCCGCTCCCGATATACCCAGTTCTGCCAGCGCCCGATTCCTGTTGCAAGGACTCGTCGAGGCCCCCGCATCCGCGTGTTCCTCCGTCCGAGCCCCCTTTGCTCCCGCGCGAGGGCGCTCGCGGGGGGCCAGGACCCCATCGTGCCGGCCTTCGACTCGCCGCTGTGGGAGAGGCCGGCGCCCCCCCCCCCGCCCCGCCCGCTCAAGCAGTGGCGAAGCGTCCTGGCTCGCCTGTAGCCCCACCAAACAATGCTCTAAGAACCTGTTGTGGATTGCACGAAATCTTCTTAGCACAGTTCTGGCCGGGGCTGTCTTGTTTGAACACATCGGGCTTATGTTTTCAGAGCATTGATTTTGTTCATAGAGAACATTTTTGGGTTCTGAGAGTATTTCGTGGTAGGGCTATAGGACTGCCTGGACGGTCGGTCCCTGCTCAACCCGCAGGCGGGAGCCGCCCGAGAGGCCGGCGCCGGCCCGGCCCCGTCCCGTGCCGATGGGGCAGTGATGCCGGGGCCCCGGCGTGCATTGCATGCATATACATGACGAACCAACAACACACACACCCATACCCATAGGGGGGTCGGAGAGGGCTATGGGTACGTGTTGTCGGATGGGGGTCCCCGCTCGAACGGGAGCGTTCCCCAGGGTCCGACAACCCGCACCCATACCCATAGCGAGTCCTCCTCCCAACGACCGCCCCTATGGGTATGGGTGTGTGTTGTTCGTTCGTCATAAACACTCGATGTCTGTTCATGGAAGCCTTGGGCGGCGACGTTGGAATCAGCTTCTCCTGCATCTGGGCCGCGCAGGGACCGCATGTGGCCCATCCTCCTGCTCCTCCTCTCCCCTCCTGTTCCCCCTCTTCCTCCTCGTTCTTCTAGTCCCGCGAATCCACTCCAAATCTGGTCCAAACCAGGCCCAAATCGGACAGCGCCGGGGGCCACGCAGGCTCCCATGGAACGGACACCAGATATACACACTCGGGGGCCCCCGAACGGGGTGGTGACCAAACCGTGCGGTGTGTCGGTGGGGATTCGGGGTCACCGCGCGGTTTTGGGACTCGGGTCGTCCTCCGAGGACGTCTCGGGCGACAGGGGCCTCTGGGGTCCCGAGACCGTGCGGTGACGGACCGTGCGGTGAGGTCTTGGGGGATTTCGATGTCACCTCACGGTCCGACACCGCACCGTTCCGGGACTTCAAAGTACACACATACGTTGCTTCCGTAATCATCAGGCTCATGATTGCATGCCATACGGTGTGAAAGCGAAGTGCCCAGCGAATGCAAGGGCCACCCTCACACGAAGCGATGTCTTCGTGTCCCTCCTCCCTTCGCCCAGGGCAAGGAAGAATCACGAGGTGGAGTGAGCCAGGCGGTGGAGGAGCAACGCGGAGGAAATTCAAGGATGGGTCAGAGGAGGCTGAGGAGCAAGAGGAGGATTGCAACAAAGGATGAGTAGGAGCAAATCAGAGGAGGAGGAGGGGGCGGACGACGACGACGACGGCGACAGGGTTGCGTACTTTTCTATGTATTCGATGGTGCACGTGGCGTCCATCGATGCGATCACTGGCCTCCAAGCGCCGATTCCCTCCGCCTCGCCTGGGGTTCGATTGGGCCGCTTCGATCACGTAGAGGAGAGGGAAGAGGAGGAGAAGGAGGGAGGAGGAGGAGCAGCAGGAGCAGCAGGAGGAGGCGGAGGAGGAGGTGGTGCGACGCCGCTGGCTTGGGACTCGAGACGCCTGTGCTCTGCCCCTCGGGCCGGCCCCCCCGAGCTGCCAGCAGTGGGAAGGAAAGCGGCGCGACCGCATGGGATCCCGCCTGCGCGCGGGGCGCCCCGCCTGCGCACCCGGTGGAGCGCTGCGGGCAAGCTGTGCCCTGCTGGCGGGGGCGATGCGGCGGAGGCGGAGGCGAGGACGCGAGGGCGCGAGGGATCCAGACCCCCGACGTCGTGTTCTTTGCTCTGTTTTTTGTCTTGTTCTGTTTGTCGCGGCGTCGACCCCCGGAGGTCTGGACGCCGGCCCCTGGACTGGGGACTGGGCTTTCCTCCCGAGCCGTTTTGTTGGCGGTCCCGAGGCCCGGCGCAGGGGGCCCCGGAGGCCGAAGCCAGCGAAGCACCTCCGTTCACAGTTGCCGTCGCAGCGCCAGGGGGTCGGGGGAGTGGGGGCCAGCTGGGTCGAGCGGAGGGGCAGGAGGGAGGAGGCAGGAGGGAGGAGGGCGACGGCGCGGAGGAGGGCGGAGGCCAGCCCCCGTTGGCGCCGCGCAGGCTCCCGGACGTCCCCCGCAGGAACGCGAAGAGTCGGCTCGCGGGCTTCTACGCCAGGTGGCTGCGCCACCTCCCCTCGGCGTCGCTGCCCCCCGTCCTTCGCACGGGCACGGAGGGAGGGGAGGAGGGAAGCGGAGGGACGGGGGAGGAGGGGAGGGGACGAGGAGGGAGGAGGAGCAGGGGAGAGGGGAAGAGGAGCGGGGGAGGAGGGAGGAGGGAGGAGGAGCAAGGACGGGGGGAGGAGGAGCAGGGGAGGAGCAGGAGGGAGGGGGACCCTCACTTCCCTCCGTTGTGCCAAGGTAGCCACGGAAGGTGTCACGAATCCAGCTGCCTGCGGCAAGTCCCGCCACCGTGCCAGCTCAGCATTTCGAGTGGCGACTGTCCGAGGGGGTGCGACACGGGAGGCTGAAACGTGTGACACGTTGTGTCTCCAGTTTTGGGAGAGCCGTGACGATGCTAATGATGCTGCTGCTGATGATTCTGCTGATGCTGATGCTGATGCTGATGCTGCTGCTGCTGCTGCTGCTGCTGATGATGATGATGATGATGATGATGATGATGATGATGATGATGATGATGATGATGATGATGATGATGATGATGATGATGATGCTGATTATATGCTGCTGATGATGATGGTGAGGAGGAGGAGGAGGAGGAGGAGGAGGAGGAGGAGGAGAAAGAAGACTGAGGAGGACGGAGGAGGAAAATAAGACGATTGTGATGAGGATGATGATGAGGAAGAGGAGAATGTGGAGGAAGAGGAGGAGAATGAGGAAGAGGAAGGCCCTCAGACGTATCGCCGTTCGTCTTTATGTATTGAGGAGCTCTCATGGAGGCAATTTGGACCGTCTGGAGGCTGTCTTGGAATCTTGTGTGGGGCAGCTTATGGGGGTCCTTCGGGCAACATTTGTTGGGGCCACCTTGAGCCGCTGTTTGGGCCATCCTTGGTCCCTCTCAGCCTTTTTGTCAACTCTCTTGAGCCGTTTTGAGGCCCTCTTAGCCGTATGTGGGTGTCTTGCGGTTGTCGTGGGTCAATTTTGGCGCCGTTTTGGGCCATCGAAGGGCCTTCTAGGCAGTCTTGGGGCCGTCTCGGCCATCTTGGGGTCCTCATGGGCCGTCTTGGGACCCTCTTGGGGGCCCCTTTTGGGCTTTGGGGGCCATTTTGGAGGCTTCTTGGGCCGTCCTGGGCTGACGGCTTCTTCGGACCCCTGGGGGTCCTTTTGTGGCTCTCTTGGGCATTCCTGGAAGCATCTCGTGGGGTCTTGAGGCCATGGTTGGCCGCCTTTGGGCCATGTTGAGCCGTCTTGGAGCCTCGGGAACGCGGATTCGTTCTTTCTACGATGGATCGCAGCTTCGGGAGCGTTGGCATATGCCTTTGTACGAGGGATCGTGACCCCAGGAAAGGGGGGGGGCGGTGCACGCTGCTCATGCGGCGAGAGGGGGGGGATCCCTTCGAAAGATCCCAGACGCCCTACTGGAGATCCGCTGCAAATATATACGTATATGCACAGACGCCCTCCAGTGGACTGTTCCTAGGCCTCAGGGGAGGGCGGCAGTGTGTAGATTTCCATTGCGAGCCAGCGACTTTCTACACTGCTACCCTCACAGAAGGTACCTGCAAAGTTCGTCGGAGGGTGTCTGTGTATATATCTTTGTGGCGTCAGAGAGGCCTTGGTATTCTACCACGCCTTGACGTCCCAAACGTTCCAGGCCCCCGACGTCGTGATTTTTTCACAACGTCGACTCCCAGAGGTCTGCACCCCTTCCCCGGGACGGGCTTCAGCGGCTTCTCATCCCGAGCCCGTTTTCTGACGCTCCCCATGCCCAGTAAGGGCCCCTGGAAGCCGAACATCACGGAACACCTCCCGCCGTGCTGGACTTCTGGGGGGCACGGTGGTGGCGTTTCGGGCCCTCGGTGTATTTGGGCCTCCCAGACGGGGTCCGAGTGAATGGGGTCGGAGGATCGCGCCGCGTCGCCGATGCATCGCCGATGCAGCTCGATGCGGAGCCCGTGCCTTCCCACGCCGGCGTCGCCGATGCACCGCCGACGTCGCCGATGTATCGCCGATGCATCGGCGATGCATTGGCGACGTCGGCGCGATCCTCCATCCCCATCCGCGTGGGCCCCATCTGCCCTGACTGTCCAGAGTGTTTAAGAAATAGCCCTCCAGACCTACAGAAGACCTATCTGGACTGCCTAAAACACCGACAGGAATTTAGGTGTCGAGGTCCTGGTGCTATTCTTTTGCCCTCCTGGAAAGTCAGGGTGCAGTGAGGGCCCATGCCAAGAAACACCCTGCTTGCCTCCAGGGTGCCCTGGGTTTCGTGGGTTGGGATGGCTCTGCGACGGAAGCCGCGACGTTCCCGCGCCAACTTTCAACGGACGCCCCGGGGACTCAGGGTGTGTTTCTTGTGGACGGTTTCTTGAAGGGGTCCCTACTCGGGACCTCGCAAGGGGAGGGGGGCCACAGGGGGGGGGGAGTTCGGTCCGCTGGCGCATCGAGCCGCAGCAGAACCATGCAAAACGAGGTGCTCTGGCCGCCGCCGGAACCCCAGAGGCGTCGACGATCGGGGCGCGCCGCGGGGGGCATCGTTTTTTTTTGGGGGGTGGAAATTCGCTGCACCAGCGCATCGAGCTCGCCCTCGCCCGGCACCGGCTGTGCGCTCGTCGGCCTTGGTCGGGAGCCTTGAGACAGGGGTCAATGCAAACGGGGGTCAGCCAGAGCGCCCGATCTTGCAGGATCCTGCTGGGCCAGGGTCGCACTGACCCGGGTTTGGGTGCAGGATCCTGCAGGATCCTGCAGGATCCTTCCCATTGACCCGGGTTTGGGTGCAGGATCTTGCAGGATCTTGCAGGATTCTGCAAGGGCTGACTGCCCCGGGTTGGGATTGACCCGGGTCAGAAAGATTCCCGACTTGGCCGCAGGGCCGCTGCTGTCCCTCGGGGGGAGCGGCGGGCCCCCCCCCCCCCCGCGGGCGGGGGGCTTCGGCAGCAGGGCGGCGGGCGCTGAGGGCGGTGCCTTTGGGGTCGGGCGGCCGCCGCCGCAGGAGGAATATTCGAGCACAGTCGAAAAAATAGTCTGGGGACGATGTTTCCGATTATTTTTGGCTTGTTTTGAATATATTGTTGTTGACTATTATCATTTGTTTTTCCCTTCAAAATACGCCTGCAGGAGGACACGCCCGAACTGAGGCTACTTGCCCAGAGATTCGACGCTCCAACGAAAATCGGAGCGGGCGGTTGTCGGCCACTTTTGGCGGGGCCAGTCGGACGGGGCTACAAGGAGAAAACGCCACAAACATAAACTTTCGGCGCTCTGCGCGGATTTCTTGGATCCGCGGTGGGCGAATTGCGCACGCGCGCGTGCGCTATGCGGATCCTGCCGCTGGGGCCTTCGGTGGAACTCCGGATGGGGCCACGAATCGTGTGAGGGGTGTGCCGGATCGGGTGTGGGCACGCCATGCGGACTGTGCCGTTGAGGCCTTCGGTTGATCTCCCGATGGGCCACGAAGCGTGTGAGGGGTGTGCCGAATCGGGCGCCGGTACGTCATGCGAGCTGGGCTGCTGTTGCCTTCGGTAGAGCTCCGTAGGGGGCCACGAAATGTGTAAGAGGTGTGCCACATCGGGTGTGGGTACAACATGCAGACTGCCACTGGGGCCTTCGGTGGAGCTCCCCAGGAGGCCACGATGCGTGTGAGGGGCTTGTCGAAACGGGTGCGGATACGCCATGCGGATTGTGCCGCTGGGTCCTTCGGTGAAGCTCCTTGCAGGGCCACGAAGCGTGAGAGGGGTGTGGTGGATCGGGTGCGGGTACGCCGTGCGGACTGTGCCGCTGGGGCCTTCGGTGGAGCTCCAAATGGGGTCGCGAAGCGTGTGAGGGGTATGCCGAACCAGATGCACGCGGAGGGCACAGGCAAGGCATTGGAGGAGGAGGGCGAGGAAGAGGAGCAGAGGGAGGAGGAGGAGGAAGGGGAAGAGGAAAGGCGGAAGGAATAATAGAGTGACACGCGGGGCGCTGTCTATCCAAAACGAGGACCCATCACCAGACCACAGGATGGATGGGACAAAGAAGCACAAACAGAATTCCTCTCTCGGCCTCATCGGCCTGATGCTGTCCAGCTTGCGTGCGAATCCGCAGCGGACAGCTTTAGGGGAAGCGGAGGGGAGGTTTGCTTGAGCCATACTTCAATGCTGTGCTCACGGACCGTCTTTCGTCGCTTGCGAGAAGGTGGGTCCCCATCCAGGGCTCGACCAGGCATCAGGGCAACAACCATGACGATGTCGGTTCCAATTCTGTTGTTCAGTTGCGTCCCCGCTGCAGACAGTCTCTCGTAGCTGTGGATGAGCCACTTGCTCATGCCAAGGCCACCATTCGCCATTCGCCTTGCATCCAGTACGTTACACTCGTGGCCAGACTCGGACCTGTCTGGAGCCGAGCGAGAGCCACGCATGCCCGCTGAGGCCCCAGTTGGGCACCCGTGGGAGCAGTGGTCTGGTGTCTGTAGGAGCGCGGTTCGTTTGCGTGGCAGGCGTCCAGGGCGATGCCTACAGGACTCGCCGCTACAATGCGGATTTCGGAAACCCTGAACCCCCAAAAACGTGTTCATCATATCTTTTACCTCCGCCGCCTTCCGCCGGCCTTCCGCCCGGCGGAGGCGGCCTCGTTTTCCTTCCGCCGACCTTCCGTCGCCCGTCCGCCGCCTTGCCGAGGAGGAGGAGGAGGAGGAGAGGAAGGAGGAGGAGGAGGAGGAGGACGAGGAGGAGGAGGGAGGAGGGAGGAGAGACAAGGAGGAGGAGGAGGAGCAGGGAAGAGGAGGAGGAGGAGGAGGAGGAGGAGGAGGAGGAGGAGGAGGAGGAGGAGGGAAGAGGAGGGAGGTGGAGGGAAGAGGAGAAGAGGAGGAGGAGGAGGAAGAGAGGGAGGAGGAGGAGATGGTAATTCCTTCGGTCCTCGGGGAGGTGAGGCCCTCCTTGGCACGCCTCACATGCTGCCTCGCAGGGCGCACGAGCATTAGCGCCCTCGATTGCCCGGACAGCTCGGCCCTCTCTTGTCCTGCACGAGGCGTGCCGCTCGACGATGGGGCGTCGGCCCGAGGCCCCGGCGGCAGGGGCAAGCCTGACCTCGGGCATGTCCCCCTTCAGGAGGGATCTTGAAAACACAGTCAAAGCACAGTCTGGGGACGTTTTTTGGATAATTGTTGTTTTGCTTTTGTATGTACGTTTCTCAATAGTTGTACTTTGTCCTTCAAGTTCCGCCTGTAGGAGGACATGCCCGACCTAATGCAAGCCTCCAACTTCCCATGCTGCTGACTGCGGCTGGAAGGCTTGGTGCAAGGGCTACCCTCCTCGTAAGGGTTCAGACGGAAGGCACACGCGCACCTTTTTCTCCCGTCCGCGCCAGCAGTGTTACTGCCTGACTGCATTACTGAGGACCACCTGTCCACGAGTGAATCGGTGTTGCTGTCCGCGAGGGCATCGTATCCCCTCGCCTACGGTTTTGCTGTCAGCGAGGGCATCGGGGTAGGAGCGAAACGGTCCAAAGTGATTCAAGCATGGCTCGGATATTCCAGCGCTGTTCCAGGAACAGTTGGCCGGCGTGTAGCCTGCTCTGTTCAGTGTTCGGAGTCGGCCGTGTCCAGTCGCGGCTGCTGTGCAGAGTGCAGCTTCTTCGGCTAAACGTTCTACGAGATACGCCCCATTGGTGTACGGTTGCCTCTCTGACTCGTATTGTCGCTGTGGCAGGCCCCCATCGGGAGCGACTCGCTCCAGTTTCCCCACTTTTTGAGGAGGGGCGGACGGGATGTCGGTGCTGGTGGTGGTGTGATCATGCTTCTCCGGGCCTTCGTCGCGGGGCACCTTGCACAGCCATTCACGGCATATCATCATATCTTGCACCCCCAGGTGATGGTGTGGTAGTGGTGGGGTTATTGCGAAGGCCTTACGGCCGGTGCCGCCGACCCTGAAGACGAAGCTGTCTGTGACGCCGTGAAGGCCGAAACGTCGTATATGCTAGACATGTAAGTTTCCGATGGGAAAGTACTGAGTATGGCCTCTTGGGCCCTTCTTGGGGGTGCTCTTGGAGGGGGCCTGGGACGTCTTGGAGGCTTCTTGGACGGTCTTGGGGCTATCTTGGGCGTCTTCGGCCGATCTTTGGGCGACTCGGGGCACTCTTGGGCCGTCTCGGGGGCCATCTTGGGCATTCGGACCTCATTTGGAGTGTTTTCGAGGTTTCGAGGCCGCCCGAGGAAAAACGAATCTGCCCCCCCCCCCCCCCCACCCCGTCCGGGACCCCCCTCCCGGGACCCCCCCCCACCCCCCCTGGGACCCCCCCCCCCCCTGGGGAAGGGATCAAAGGGAAGGGGCTTCCCTTCGAATCGACAACGGCATAACGGCAGGAGGGTACGGCCCAAAAAGAAAAAAGGGGGAAGGAAGAAGGGGGGGCGGCGAGGAACGGACGAGGAAGCCCCTCGCACACGCCGAAAGGGTCGGCGGATTTCTTCCTGCTACCTTGCTCTCGTGCTCTTCTTTCCTCACTCTGCTTTCGGCCCGCAGTGGTGTGACTGGCAGCGACTGCCCCGTGGAGGCGCCGCGGCGGGCAGGAGGACATGCAGGACGGCGATGAGGAGGAGAACATTCGGTAGGTGGAGGGGGTGTAGGAGCAGGGGGGACGGGGCAGAAGGCGGAGGAGGCGGAGGAGGAGGACGAGGAGAGGGAGGAGGAGAAGGAGGAGGAGGAAGGGGGAGGTCGGGGAGGAGACGGCAACGGAGTATGATGTAGGGAGTGAGGATGGAGAGTGAGGACGGAACAAGCAGTGTTACCACCCAAGGGCCGTGGTGAGAACGAGCGCAGTGCCAGCCCGGGATGTCGACTTCTTGTCGGATGCGGCGCCCGCCCCCGTTGGTCGAACCTTGCGCGCGGCAACGTGCAGAAGGAAAAACCAGAGGACAGCTGCTTCTTGGGTTCACAGGTGCCTACTACAGTCAAACATGATAGTAAGGATTGGCAACCTTCCCAAGGGTACCCTTGCATCCTTGCCTCCTCGGTCCATCCTTCGCTGCTTTCGCTGGCCGCGCCCCGCTCGAAAAGCTTCGAAATGGGCGTCCAAGGCCCTCACATCCTTATCGCGCATCCTTACTATACTGGTTGACTGTACGTACAGTTGAGTGGATGCTTATTCGCGTGCTCAGTGTCAGTGCAAGTTTGACTGGCAGTGTCACAGCCCACAATGCCATGATGCAACAGCTTGACACCGATGTACAATTGCCTCGTGCAGCTGTCTGTGAGCCCTAGATTGCCACAGCACGCAGCACACCTTACTGATGAAGAAGGAGCCAGACACGCGTAACATACATCATTAGTTTCGAGGACGCGTGTCGCAGCAGGGTATCCAAATGAATTACACGCGGGATGGTATGCGCGTCTATTGACAGCTACATGTTGTCGGAGACGGAACTCAGGTAAGGGTTGTTGACATGACTGCACCTTCGTACCTCCGCGCGCGCTTACACTAGCAGTCCTTTCCCAGAAGAGTGCTTGTCCTTACGGCTTCTTATTTCTGTTGTAATGAACAGGGCCTGAGTGGTGGTTTGGCGGCTCTGTGCTCGCCGTCGCCGCCCCGTCGCCGCCCGTCGTCTGGGCCTGGGCGGTCTGGCGGCTCTGCGCTCGCCGTCGCCGCCCCGTCGCCGCCCGTCTTCGGGTCTGGGCGGTCTCGCGGCTCCGTGCTCGCCGTCGCCGCCCCGTCGCCGCCTCGTGGCCGCCCGTCGCCTGGGCCTGGGTGGCGGTCTCGCGTCTCCGTGCTCGCCATTGCCGCCTCGTCGCCGCCCCCTCGCGGCCCCGTCGCCACCTAGCCACGTCGATTCTTCTTCCTAGGGCCCCCCAGGGGTTAAAGGCTCACCTGGTCGTGTTGCAGTTTACCTTTGATTCTGCCCCATCGTCCATCCGAGCTATGAATTCACATCATCCCAGCTAAACCGGTACCGACTCCCCTTCACCCTCTGCAGTAGAATATGCACGCTCATTCGTTTATCACAAACCATACGTTTTCATCGAATCCCTTGCACCAAGTGGGGCGAAGTGCACACGCGCGCGTCGTGGCGCGCGCATGCCGAATTCCTTCAAAAACCTGATGCCCCGTAGGGATTTCAAAATCGAGCGTCCAGACACATGTAACGAACACATGGTTTCGCAGCGCGAGTTTTCAAAAAAAAGCCTGCGCACGCGCTCTTACGAATTCTTAAGATAACCATTGGCTTTCAACATGTTCACAACATGCCACCAAGCGGGTTTCGCGCGCGCATGCCGAAATCGTTCGAACGCCCTTGCGCGCGTGCTGTCGCTATAATCTTTTGCAACGCACGGGGCGAAGTGCGAGCGCGCGCGTCGTCCCGCGCGCACGCCACCTTCCGTTTCGAATGGATCTCAACACCTAGCGCCCAGAAACCAGATAATATCGGAGAAAAGGCACAATCATATTTTTTAAGAGCTTTGGGGCCATGGGGCTATAGGGCTATAGGGCAACAGGGCTGTAGGTCTAAAGGACTATAGAGCTATAGGGCAATAAGGCTATAGGGCAGTAGGGCTACAGGGCTATAGGGCTATAGGTCTCTGGGGCGATGGGGCTATATGGCTGTAGGGCTATAGTGCTATAGTGCTATAGGTCTATAGGGCTATGGGGCTATAAGGCTATAGGACCATAGGGCTAAAGGGCTAGAGGGCTAGAGGGCTATAGGGCTGTAAGGGCTATGGGGTTATAGTGTTTTAGGGCTATGGGGCTATAGGGCTATAGGGCCATAGGGCTATAGGCTATAAGGCACCCGGGCACCCGTGCACCCGGGCACCTGGGCGGGCCGCGGAAATCGTTGATACACCTCACCTAACAATACATCCCCAGGCCGAAAGTTTTTTCCTCTTGGATCAGTGGACCACCTCTTTTTTCTCCCAAATATGAGAGCATCAGTGGATCCAAGTGGATCCCTTTTTCGAGTGTGGGAGAGTTTCGTGGATCCTGTATCTGTGTTGCGCGGACCCATTTTTTGGGGTGTGAAAAACGATGGATCCATTTATTTCCCGGGAATATACATATATATGTATGTTAATACTAGCAATAATAATAGTAGCATCCGGGACCCATGGGAAATGGGATCCGCGGAGCACCGCAAGTGAAGAATCATGCTATCCACTGAGCTGTGAATCTGCAGACCAATGCTATGACTCTACGGGGGAGGGGGTCTTCCCAGGATGAAGAGGGGAAGGATGAGGGAAGAGGCAAGAGGAGGTGGGAGGAGAACAGAGGGGACGCAGGGGGGGAGAGAGGAGGAACAATCAGGGAAGAGAGGGGGGGAGGAGGAAGGAAGAAGAAAAGGAGGAAAAGGAGGATGAGGGAGGAGGTAGGAGGGAGGAAGGAGGCGGACGGACGAAGGAGGAAGGAGGAGGAGGGAGGAGGTGGGAGGAGGAGGGGGGAAGTCGGAGGAGGAGGAGGAGAGGAAGAGATGAGGGAGGGCGAGGACACACAAGCAAAGTGTCCAAGTCGGAAGCTCGAGCGCCACAGCGGGCCCTGCCACCTCCCTTTTTTCTCCCATAATATGTGGTTGCTCGAGCGCCACAGCGGTCATGGCCATCTCCCGAAAGCCTTCCCATAAGATAAGTTTGCTCGAACGCCACAGCGGGCCCGGCCAACTCCCGCATCTCCACCCATAACATATTTACCCCACTTCGAAGCGAACGCTCCATGTTTCCGCACACCTGAACGGCGCGTCGCTTCCGACATGTGGGGCTCAAAAGGAAAATCTTTCGGCCTGCGTAAGTATGGATCCGCTAAGACCCCCACAGAGGCAAGTTCTGATTGTGGAATGATAAACGTATGGCTTCGCACCAAGCGTATTCAAACCAAGCCTGCGATCGGTCTGTTCCGAATACTGCAGCAAGCCACTTTTTTCTTTAACGTGTCAACGCTACCATGCGGGCCAGCCTCGCGCGTCGGCCGCGCGCGCATGTCGAACTCCTGCCAAAACTTCTTTCACCGACGCGAGGGCGCCATCATCGTCGTCGGCGTGATCAGCAACGATGCCGTCACTGGCTGAGCATCGTCACCAGCATCCTACTATCATCGTGCCTCCGTTTTCGATGTTGCCATGATACCACGCCCGCCTAAGTCGTCGACTCGCACCGAAATGCCCTCTAGGCCCAGCGGTCGGCGCCACCGCGGCAGCGTCGGTCGCGCCAAACTAGCTGGCCGTTGCGCGCGCGTGCATGCATGTGCGGGCTAGCGCGGCCGCAGGGATGCACCAGCCAACGCCGAACATTCTTCGCAATCGCCACCGCGTGGGTTTTGCAAACCAAGTTGCAGGTGGATGGGTTGGTGGGATGATTGCGTGAGCAGTGGAGTTGATATTTTCAAGTTGAGCGTTTGCGAACTACACAACGCAGATTGCACCGCGCAGAAAGCTCCGCGCATATGGCACCACGTCGGTTGCATCACGTAGATTGTACCACGCAGAGCGCACCACGCAGATTGCACCACGTCAACTATGCCACGCGGGTTCACAACGCAAATACACCACCCGCACTGCGCCGCGCATGCTGTACCGCATCGGTTGCTTTGCGTGTTTTTGCGCAACATATGGCACAACATAGTTTGCACACCATAGACAATGCCACGTCGGTTTCACTGCATGGATTGCACAATCTATATTGCACTACGTTGACTGCATCACATACATGGTGCCTCGTCGGTGGCACCACATGGATTGCGCACCGCGCGCGCGACGACATGGATTGGGCACCGCTGTGTGCGCGAGCGGCGGCGCGCGCGCGTGGACTCGTTCTTTTCTTGGACTTATTGACGGTTGGTGTCTGATAGGAAGGCGTGCGTGCGCATAGTTTTATTTGACGAGACTGGGGGGGGCGCTGTGGGGCGTGAGTGGGTTCATCGTCAAAAACGAACGATGGCGCAGCACCGCGTGTAGATCTTACCATGCCAAGGATGGCTGGTGCGATCGGGTTGGCGTGTGTGTGTATATGTGTGCGTGGGCTCATGCCCTTGTTTTGGGTTTCCGGAAGGTGTGTCGACGTGATGCAAGGTATCCGGTCGTTCACTGTCCCTGGGTGCGTGGTTGAAGTGGAATTCCGCGGTGCGGATTATCGTTGTTGTTGTTGTTGTTGTTGTTGTTGTTGTTGTTGTTGTTGTTGTTGTTGTTGTTGTTTGTTGTTGTTTGTTGTTGTTTGTTGTCGTCGTCCCACCCGCGACCCACCCGCGACCCCCCGCGACCCACCCGCGACCCACCCCGCGACCCACCCGCGACCCACCCCGCGACCCACCCCGCGACCCACCCCGCGACCGCACCCCGCGACCCAACCCGCGACCGCGACCCACCCGCGACCCCCCGCGCGGCCGCACCCCGCGACCCACCCGCGACCCACCCGCGACCCAACCCGCGACCCAAACCACGTTCACGCCCGGCGGGCACCACCACGCGGCCTACGCACCCGGTGGAAACCCGCGGCCCACTGCGACCCAAACCACGTTCAGTGTGCAAACCAATTTTTGTGGCGCCTGCGGCGGGCTGTTTTTGCATTCCTTCCAGG